AAGAGAACAAACAGCTAGCCCTTTGCTCACTGAGCTGCCTTCCTAAGCAAGGGTCTCCTGAGCAGCGTGGTCATGTGCCCTTGCTCATCTCTGCCAACAGTGTCTACAATGAAAGCTATAGAGGGAAATCCTGCATGAAAAGAAATGAAAAAGATGACAAGTCAGGTGAGTGAACGCAAGGTACCCATGATGCACAGACACAGAGCAAGCAGGATCTTGGCATGCCTATGCCACTCAGAAGACCCACTTCTGGGTGGACACCATGTTGGTAAGGTTACAGAACAGGAATCCAGCTCAGCAGGGCAGGGTATGTATCTACAGGAAGCAGGAGGTTGAGTAGGCAGCCCAGTTACGGCCAATGGCCTCATCTCTCTTTAGCTGTCATCTAAGCCCCCGCAGGGCTACACCTAGCAGTTCTTCCCAGGCAGGAACTCTCACCACCTGCCATCCTGCCTCACCACAGGGTGGTGGCAAGCACCAGCCATGCCAAGAAAGACTTAACTGGGAAACTAAGGGAAGAACTCATCCAAACTGCCAAAGGAGGATAGAAACCTACATGTGGATAAAGTCCCCACATAGCATTCTTTTTTTTGGAGGAAGCAGAAAGCGATGGCCAAGAGGCTTGCCCTGGGCTGCAGGGCAGAGACTGGGTCCCTTTCTGGGAAGTGGGTAGCTGAACTAATCTGGATTGGTACTTTCCCAAGGTCTGCAGAGACGTCCAGATCCCAGACAGCGTCAGGATTCATCTTACCATGGCCTCAGCGGCTACATGCAGATTTTGTCCAGGACACGGACATTCAGCATGAAGACATGTTTTTCTTCAGTTACGGTGGCTCTCAGGGGGCCTGGGTCTTCCTCAATGTTAATTAGAACCCCTCCCTTCTATGAGCAACCTGTTTAACCCACCGCTCCTCTGAGTCTCACTGGTCCATGGTGGTTAGAACACATGTACCGTGTAGAGTTGTGCTCACTCCTCTAAGACAGAGTAAATCTCCCATACCACCCCCTCATCCTTTTCTGCCTCACTTCTCTCTCCAGGCTGTGTGGTCTGGTACACATTTGTTAGCCATTAAGGCTCCTGTCCATGAGCAAAGTCTGGTTTCCTTTTATTCCACTCCAGCCTACTCTGGGAGTATTGCAAGTCTATTATGTATGGAATATAGTAACAGGTACTGGTGCCGTGCTGGGGGACTGAATGCAGGAGTCTCAGACACAGCAATGACAGTGGGGCTGGGGGAGAGGCAGCAGGGACTCAGGCTGCTAGGGCTCCTCTCTAGCACACCTTGCTGGCCTCCTGCCATGGTGAACAGGCTGTAGCTTCTTGCTACTTCTGCCTGCAAAGCATGCACTCTGCCAGGCTCCCTTTGGGGACTGTTACTCCAGCGCATCACTGATTCTCAGCTCAAGCGGGTGGACATCTGAGAATACTGTGTGCCTACTTGTTCTTATCCTGGGCTCTCTGCTCAACACATTGGGCCTGGGCAGGAAGGACAAAAAAAAATTACATTTGTGTGGCTGGAGAGAATCTGAGCTCACACAAACCTAGCATCCACATTGGGAGCCTTGGGGGTTCTGATGCCCTCTGACCTTTTGTTACTTTCATGCATATAGTGCATATAAACTTACTAAGGTCCACATACATGCACATAATAAATGAATACATAATTTAAGATTACACTTGCTTTTCTGTTATTGTTTCATTTATTTTTAGTGAGGTAGAATAGGGTCTCACTCTGTAGCCCTGGTCAACTTGGTCATTGCTATGTAAACCAAGTTGGCCTCTACTTTACAGTGATCTTGGCTCCCATGTGCTGGGATTACAGGTATGTACCACCACACTCAGCTTAATTATTTATTTACTCATATTTGTATTTTATTGAGTATGGTCCTGGGGATCAAGCCCTGGGCCTCATGCGTATGAGGCAGGTGCTCTACCTCTAAGCTCTGGCTCCAGTAGCATGTCTGATTTCAAAAGACTCTAACTCTTGTCCAGTCCTCCCAACCCCCACTGACTCTCACAGGCTCATCCAGATAACATGGCACACCTCTTTCCCAAAATATCTTCATGTCTCTCTCCCAACAAAGAAATACTTCACTAGAAGAGTTCTCTACCACTTTCCATGCCAAGGTAAATCAGAAACAAAGAAATACACACACACAAGAGGCAACTTGTGAACTTTATCTCACCTAATGTGCACAATAGCCCTGGATTTAGGATTATATACCCCATTGTACAAATGAGAAGGGAAATGGGGTTCATGCAGAGACGGGGCCGGTTTGAATCAGTCTGCCTGCTGGCTCTGCTCTTTTCAGGTCCCAGGCTGCCTCTGCTGGTCAGTTTCCAGTTCTGCTAGCTTGGGCCCTCCCTTGTGGCTGAGTTGTGTGCTTCATGGATGGAGATTCCCTTCAACCTTTTTGTCCATGCTGGTCCCAGGGGTAACTCCCTCCTTCCATCCAGCGATGGCAGCAGCGACAGACTCTCTAAAGGACAGCCTCAGATTCTCCCATTAGCTCATCTTAATTACAGTCCACAGACCACAGCAGCTCCTGTGTAAAATAGTCACTCCTGCTACACAGCAGGCACAGGTTTGCCGATACACATTCTAGCTCTTTCTCTGACTCTACTCTTCTGGTCGTCATTGCTGCCTACAGCTTCCATTCCCTGCTGTCTTTAGTTCTCACCCCGCACACAACACTGTGGCCAGCAAACAGTACCTCAAACCACTTCAACCTAGGCAGCTGTCAGTCTAGCTTAGACAAGAGCGCTTATGGCTCTGCTGAGAGTCAGGTGCTATCCAAGGTGCTGTGACTAGGCAAGAAAGGGGATAGGGACACAGAGCTTCCCTTCCAGAAGCCAAGAGTCGGAACTTGGACACAGGGAACAGTATCGACCACTGGCAGGAGGCAGGCAGGAGTGAGTGAGGACTAGAACTCAGCTGGAGGACCTTAAACCTTCCAATTCACAGAAGGAGAACTAAAGCCTAAGAAAGGCCACCCAGGGGAAATCACATCAAATGATAGTTTACTTTCAGTTTTAATTCCCTGCAAATGTGTTTGTATAGGTGAGCACAGTGTCTAGGGGGCCAGAAGAGGGCACTGTATGACCTGGAAGTGTACAGGTGGTTGAAGGTCGCTGGACATGATTGCTGGGAACCAAACTGGGGTCCTCTGCAGGAGTGGTCCAGATTGTATCACAACAACACTGTGCACTGGGTACTGCTGCCACCTCTACTTTAATGAGGAGGGGTTAAGCACCTGAGTTCACACTAGTACAGAAGCCTGCACTGAACTCTGGCCCCTTGCCACAACACTGTAGTTTGTGATGCCCAGCTTCTTAAACTGTGGTGACAACCTCATATCGGGTACAGTGACTAAATGTGGGGGTTGTGAAAAATTTGGCAGCAATAAAAGGTTTCTGAACACACAACAATAACAGATTATTTCAAAATCAAATATGTAACGAAGCCAAGGTGTTATTGGCAACGCTCACCCATGTTATATCATGTGACGCCATGTTGTATCATGTGACTACACTGCAGCTTTGACTCTGAACACACAACGAGGCCAGCAAACACTACCTGAAACACAGAGGCTCGGACTCACTGTGACATAAACTACTTTCTGCTCTCACAGAAGCATGATGGTCTAATGATAAGAAGAGACAGAGACGTTTTCTGTGTTTTTCCTACTGTTATGCCTCAGCTGGATCAGAGCGGTATATCTCTGGAGTGTGCTCAGTTGCTGTATTTGGTTTTAAAGACTGCTATATGAGGTGATGATTTGAGTTGCTTTTTTAAAAGTCATTAAACAGAACAGGCCAGATGGCTCAGTGAGTAAAAGCACTTAGAACCAAACCCAAAGGCCCAAGTTTTGATCCTTGAAACAAGTGCCATGTGTGCGCACACGTGTATGTACACACACACGTACACACACACACAGACAACAACAACAACAACTAAGTTTAAACATCATTAAATGAATTTTGGCTTATGCTTAGGATAGAATGTCCAACAATTTTTGAAATGGTCTTAAACATTCCGCTGTCTTGTACTGGGTGTTTATGTGAAGTGGTGTTCTGAGCACTGACAGCTTTGAGTATGTTCTATGTTCCATGATTTCAAATATTCAATCAAGATTAAACTCTGTATGTAAAAAGAAACACACACACACACACACACTCATTAGTACTTTGTCCTTTAATAGTAAAAGTTAGTGTATACCAAAGAACTGTTTTTTTCAATAATTTTTATGAGTTGTTGCCAATACACGTCTCACTTATATATGCACTTTACATACGTGTACACGTGGAGTCACGCTGGGTATAAATGGATCATGAGCAGCGATTGTCTAAGGGGCCCCATTCTGCTACACTGTGCTCTTCAGCCCAAATCTGCTACAGAGAATACTGGACAGCTTTCCTGAATGAATTACTCATGGGTGCGGTCATGAACTTGTGCTATCCAAGGCCAGCTAAGAGGACGCTTTAATGAACCAGGTGTGCACCTGACTGGGAGTTCCCTGGTGCAGGCATACACCAGGCAGAAAGGACTGAGAACCACCACCCGTGCTTCCAAACACAGAGCCAGACCAGGAGGAAAGAACTTTCTAGAATGGGTTTGTTCAGAGAGTCAGAAGCATCCGGCTCACTCCTCAGTTTTATGTCTCTCTACCCATGAAGCCTGAGCCTGTCAATTAGGTCTTTATCATTTTCTGAGGCAGGGGCAAGGTCAGGCACCTTCAGAAGATACTCAACGAAATATGCTGAAGTGGTCAGAGAACAGGCTTCTACTATGTGCTTTGTCCAAAATCTTCCCCAACTCTCCCCCTCTCCCCCGACCCTCTCTCTCTCACTGTATACCCCAGATGACCTGGAACTTGTGCTTAGCTTCTGGGATGCCGGGTATGCATGCACACCACCAAGCCTGGATCCCTAATGAGCCTTCTCCAATTATGTTACCAAGGTTTCACAATCAACTGTTATCAGTGTAAAAATTACTTACTAATTACTGCCAAGTTGTGCTCTGAGCCACAAGAAATCTGTAAAAGTAAAGAAAATATAAGCCATTAGAAAAAAAATGTGTAGACATCCCAGCTTGCATGCTTTGCGACCGAGGTTATTTTATAATAGCATGCACATCCATTCTTGGCAACTTTTAGAAAGATGTAGAAAGGAGCACCATACACAAAGGTTAAAATTATAATTATAACACATTCACAGATACATGAAAAGTCAGTGTGAAAAAACATCGCATGGAAATGCACCAAGACGTTAAAGCTGTCTTTAGCCAGTTAGACTACCAGTGATCTCTTCTTTCTACTTTTTATTTTTCAAACTTTCTTATTTTTACTTAAATTTTTAAATCTGTTTTATTTTTTGATTTTTCTCCCATTTTATTTTGTGTAGGTTTTTTTTTTTTTTTTATCAGCATGCATGGCTATGTACCATGTGAATGCAGTATTCACAGAGGCCAGAAGAGGGTGCTGATCCCCTGGGATGGGAGTTTCAGACATTGTGAGCATCCACGTGGGTGCTGGGATTGAGCCTGGGTCCTCTGTCAGGGTTCTTAATCATCAAACCATCTCTCTAGCACCCCACACATACAAAACCATAGACAGGCTCTCATGGAGCCGAAACTGGCCTTAAACTCCCACTCCTCCTGCCTCTGCCTCCCAAGCGATGAGATTTCAGGAGTGTGCTGCCAAACCTAAAACATTTTTCAAAATTTCTATATCATACACATCACTTTTTAAAAAATCAGAAAGATATAGTAATAAAGATAACAGTTCTCAAATACTGAACTAGAATGACCATCACATTCAGTGATAACACGAGCCAAGGAGTCAGTAGAAGGGATGTCTCTGCTCTGTCCCTCTCTCCTTCCAGCCAGACTCCCTCGGCCTCTGAATGCACTGTGTTCTCTCGTGCTCAAGTGCATGCTTGTTTTTCCACCAAGAGCGGCCTCTCCTCACCGTCTACATAAAAGACTGTATTCATTTTTACCTTAGAGCACTCACTGAACTCCTTGGCTACAGGCTGGCTAGGGCACTGATGTCATTCTGCCTGATCAGAATCATTCTGTCTATTCGGCACCACACTGCAGCAGGCATCTTGTCTTTTAGTATTTCTTCTGGTCTCTGCTAAATGTACACAGCCTGAGAAGACAGTGAATCTCACCTCTGTATTGCACTCGTGAAATGAACAGAGCCTGGGGCTCAGTTAACTGACAAACAAATGAATAAAAATGCCAAGTGTAGGATGAAAGAAAGAAAATCTCAGAGAGAGAGGGCAGCGGGTTGTCAGGGTTTGAATCCAGGATTTCCAACCACTGCTGGGTATGTCTACCCCATTCAGTCTCTACACTATCTACCAGCTGTCAGGAGGAAGTGACCGGCTTCCAGGGGATGATGAAGAGGTGTTCTAGGCTCTGGAGAAGCATTCGTGACCAGCATCAGGATGCTCATTTTAATCCCAGGCCCGAGAAAGGGAGTCAGTACTCTGGATGTTGATGTGGGAAGGGCCATGGGTATCAGCTACGCTCCCAGGAGAGAGAGGAGACATGGCAAGAGGAAATGATTTGTCCTGGGTTCCAGAACAAGTCTGAATGTGAGAACTTTCATGACCACAGGAATGATTCCACAAGAGTAAGATCATGTAGCCTGTCTGCACCTGTGATGACTGGAACTAACAACAGGGTGTTATATTCTTGAGAACTGCTGAGTAGCAGAAGTTAAAACATGCTGTCTAAGCATGGCCTGGAATTCAGATCCCCAGAACCCATGTTAGCACAGGGTGGACCTTGTAACCCACCTGTGATTCCAGTCTTTGAAGATGGAGACAACAGATCCCTAGAACAAGCTGGGTTGAGAGGCCCTGCCTCAGTGAATACAGCGCAAGAAAAATGGAAGACGATTGTTAACATTAACCTTGGAGCTTCACATGTGTACACATGCACATGTGTACACACACATATGTGCACCCACATACATGCAAACATGAATTCACACACACACAAATGAAAAAAGGAAAAAAATAAAAATGCTGAGAATATTTTAAGTTGTCTTAACACAAAAATGACAAATATGTGAGATGATACATAGATTAGTTTGACCTAGCCATTCTACGATGTATACTCACTTCAAAACTTCATGTTGTACATGATACACACACATGTATACGTATGTGTATGTATATGTATATAAAACAGATATTTGTTAATTAAAAAAAAAACTGGAGAGGCTAGAGAAATGGCTCAGTGGTTAAGACACTGGCGACTCTTCCAGAGGACCTGGGTTCGATTCCCACCAACCATATGGTGGCTCACAATTGTCTGTGGTTCCAGTTCTAGGGGATGACTGTCTTTCCCTCTGGCTTCCATGGACACTGGACACACACATACATATAGGCAAAGAACTCATAAACACAAGATACCTTTAAATCTAATCTATCTAAAAAGACTAGTGCCACTGTGGTCCTCATACTCTGACAAGTTCCTGTCTTATGCCCAAGTGGAAATGGAAGTTCTGACTGCAGGAAGGGCTCAAAGTATTTCAGCAAGGCACGCTGGAGGTAAGTGGGGCAGCCTAGGCTCCTAGGCCTTGCCCTGCACAAAGATGGGATTCCCTGTGCCAGATTCAGCCTGGGAGAGAAGACTATAACACTGCATGGACTCTGAGAGACTGCGGCAAAGAAGTCCGCTTGGTAAGTTGCTCCAGACTGTCTTTAAGTTTGAGGAGACTTGACATTGTCCCATGGTAACTCTCTGGGGACGAGAGGCAAGACGGGAGCTCACCATAAGCTTCCTGGCTGTACTGAGGCTGGCTCCCTAAGTCTGTTTATTTAGGGAGCAGCTTGGACTGATGAACAGGGAAACAACTGGATGTCTAGCAGTAAGCAAATATTTATGTAAATGATGGCAGAGGTATTTGATGGACTATTAAGCAGCCTAGGAAGATGATGCTTACACTAAGAAAATATTCCAAATATCATCTGAACTGAAAAAAAAATCACATAAAAGTCGTATCCATAATACATTATCCACTCTGTAATAAAACACGAATAAGAATGACTGCAAGGAGAGATATCAGAATGTTGACAGTGCTGTCTGCTCTCTCTGAATCTTACACACTAATTCTTGTAATAGGGGAGTGTAGATCCATTAAAAATAAGAAAAAATTATAATGCAGTTCCCTCTACATAGAAAAAAAAAAAGCCAACTGACTATAAAACTTACATGTTTAGATCTGGGGGAGGGGGCTCCAAAGGTAACAGAGGTAAAATTATCAGGGCAATCGCATCCTGGTAGCAACACAAGTAGGCATTTTGTTCCCACCAGTCTTTATTTCCAGAATGTTCTTTTACCGTGGTGACAGCAATAGTGGAGTGGTGACAATGATAAGAACAGTAATTAAAACTACCATAACCCAAGGACTCGTGTGTGCCAGGCTGTGCTCCAAGGCGCTTCTGAAACACTGGCACATTTTAATCATCACAGACATCTTTCCAGGTATGTTTGGCTTTGCTCCTTTAGAGATGAGGAACTCGAGGCTCATGAATATTCAGTGGCTTCCACAGTTAAGGCAGCAGCAGCAGAAGTGAAACCGGGTTGTCTCATTTACAAGCTACTGTCCTTTGCCTCTGCTTCATGTTACCTCAAACGAACAAAAACAAACCTCTTCGATATAAGAAACACACAGAGAGGCAAAGGACTTTTGTCTGGGGGTTGGTGGTGACCCTGATCAGGGACTTGGAGCCAACCAGCATTAGGGATCATGCCAGCCACTGACAGATGCTAGCCCCGCACTATAGCTGCGGCTATGCATTCATGAGTAAGACAGGGATGGACAGGCTTTGTCATGCCCATGCCGAGCTGGGAGCATGAGCTTCCCATGGCTTCTCCCTCTCTGTGCTCTGGCTTAGGTGGGGATCCCGAACACCACATGCCACAACTCCCAGCACTACACTCCTTCCATTTGCTCCATATTACTCCTGCCAGCTTCTCCCTACTGCCCAGCGGCAGGCAGTTTTGTAGAAGACTGTTAAAAACGGCTATGTACCAGGAGAAAGATCCCAAACCAGGAAGCCAAGTCACTCCTGGGCCCTCTACTTTCTGGTTCCTGAGACCTCTGGCAAGACTTTTAACCTCCAGGACCTGGAGGTTCTCAGATGTTAAAAGATGACAGTGTGTCTGTCTTGTCTGTATGTATGTCTTGTGTGTATGACAGATGAGATGTTTATACACAAATCTGACTCCTGCTGAAAACCCTCCTCAGCTGCCCTTCCACTCTATTGGGAGGATAAGGTCTAAATTACAGAGCATGACTTGTAAGGCCAGGGTGAGTTGGTCCATATTTAACTCTTATAAACTTTCAACCGCAAATAATATATTCTCTTTTCCAGTCATGCTGCATATTTTCTCTAAGGACGTCATGTAATTTCAGGCTCCTTTGCATTTTCTCCTCGAGTGGGATTTCTTTTCTCCCACTGTTTACTTAGGTAAGCCACAGAGAACTGTTCAAACATCAAACCCCAACCCCAGCCTGCTGCTCTACCTGAGCACTCTGTGTTTCCTACCTCAGTCCCTCCATCATCCAACTGATTCTCTGCCTAGCATCTCTGTCCATAGCCTGAGTGCAGGGAATGGAACGAGGGGAGACAGGAAGATAACAGGAGCAGGAGGGAGAGGGAGAGGGGGCACAAAGTAGTCCCAAGCACATATGGACACAGACTTTAAGGTAGCATCCTTAAAGAAACGTAAACTAGGGGCTTGTGACAGTTTGTGTATGCTCAGCTCAAGGAATAGCACTATTTCAAGGTGTGGTCCTGTTCAAGCAGGTGTGGCCTTTTTGTAGTAGGTGTGTCACTGTAGGTGTGGGCTTTAAGACCTTCATCTTAGCTGCCTGGAAGCCAGTCTTCTCCTAACAGCCTTCAGATGAAGATGTAGAACTCTCAGCTCCTCCTGCACCATGCCTGCCTGGATGTTGCCATGTTCCCACCTTGATGATAATGGACTGAACCTATGAACCTATAAGCCAACCCC